TACAGGTACACAGATACAGACATTCCGTTTCTGTAACCAGGTCCTTCAATGAATTGGTCATTATGAGGAATTATATATATAGTATGCATATTAACAACAAAGAAATGGTCAAAGGAAACTCCAACTTGATGACTTTGCTTACTGCAATGTATAACAGAATGTACAAGTGCAGTACTGTACAGTACAATCAGCAAAAATTACAGTACTGTACTGTCCTGTTGAAGAAGCCCTCACAAAGCTGTGCTGACACTCTTGTTCCTGTGTCGCAAGTCTGAATGTGGGTCCTAAGTCAAGTGAGATGTCCAAACAGCGCACCTCGGTAGGGTGTAAGTCCAGTCCTTGAACAGGTGGGTGGTTAAATAAGGAATATCTGTGTAATTTTACATTATTTCACGAAAATTCAAATAATTGTAAACCTCTAGATTCAGACAAATTTGGTTAGGATTTATGAGAGTTTAAATTCCTAACAGTTTCTTCCTTCTATTATGTCAGCAAAATATTCCTCTTCACCTCATAATTAAGTTGTGAGTGAGGGAGAAAAGGAGACTTATTTTGTTGAGAATAGTGATGACATTAGTAACAATACGATTAATGCCAATAATAGTTAACATTCACAGAGCACTTATTTGTTACCAGGTAGGGCTCTAAGCCTTTTAGATCTACTAAGTCATCTAATATTCATATTTCTATGTGATGGATGACTACTATTATTCCAATTTTGTGGAGGAGAAAAATGAAATACAAAGATGCTAAGTTGCCCAAGGTCACAATGTTTTTTCTGTTGCAACAAGTTGCCAAGCATTACTTCAAATCATCTTCTCATCTATCCCAAAATATCTTCCAGGCATGTGCAATTGAAGTTTTATCTTATTACAAAGCCCTCTCCTCTTTCTACACAATGGGGTACTTAATAAGCAAACTTATTTTCATAACAAATGCAATACAATAAATATTGAAAGTACATGTGAGGCAAAATATTCAGCATATCCAATATCTCATTTTGTTCCCAACAATAGTGTGAGTCAGGTAGCCCTATTTTAAAGTGAACAAATACCAGAGATATTTTTTAGAAATGAAGGAAACAATATTCAGTCAACTGTCTCCTCCCAAAAAGATTTGTTAAAGGCCTAACTCCCAGGATATCAGACTTTACTTGGAATTAAGAATGTCACAGATGTAGTTAGTTAAAGTGACTTCATACTGGAGTGGAACAGCCCCTTAAACCACTATGACTTGTGTTCACAAACCAAAGAATGCCTGAGGCCACCAGAAGCTAGAATAAGCAAGGTCTTCCTTAAAGGCTTTGGTGTGAGCATGACCCTGCTGACACCATGAATTCAGACTTCTAGCCTCCAGAACCGTGAGAATAAATTTGACTTGTTTTAAGCCACCTAGTTTGTGGCAATTTGCTACTGCAGTCCAAAGAAACTGATACAGGTGGTTTAAATGTTAAATGAAAAACCATTATATTAAAATGCTGAATAAAGAGTAAAGACTCCACAAAGAGTATTTTTTAAATGTCTCTGTGTAAGAGGAATGCTAATATTGTGCCAGTATATGCAAAGCTATAGGAGAAAAATGAGTAGAGATCCCCAGAGTGCTTATTTCACTCTGCAATTTTTGTGGGAAGTGTAGTAATTAATTCAATTGGTAAGTAATTTAAACATTAAAAGAAAACAGTCAAATAAACACACATTTTTTTAAGAGAGAAGAGGTTTTTTAAAGGCATACTTGAGTTTTATCCTCAGACTTTCAGGAGTACCATTATTTCTTCTCTGTGATTGAGAACATCGATAGATACTATATGTGTGTGTGTGTGTGTGAGTGTGTATGTGAGTGCTTGTGTGCACATATGTGCAAACAGTTCTGAATTGCATTTTGGGGCTGTTAACTGTGGTTTTCAGGAGACCACTAATTCTCTCTGCCTAGTTTTAGAAGGGAAAATAAGTTAGAAACCATTTGATAGCAACTCTCTCATACCTCCCACCTATAACAGAATATCTGGTAAAAACACCCCACACCCCTGCCCCTGCCTTTCCAGTGGAATAAGCCAAACTGAGCCTCCAACATGATAGAAATCCAAGGCAGACAGCATTTCCCACTCTTCTGGTGTCAATGCTCAGAACAGCATAAAGTGAGAATCTTTGCCTTGAGAGAATTATACTATGTGGTCATAAAGAGAGCCATAATGCACCAGGCATTCCCTGATTTCCTAAGCATTACCATCTCTCTTTTTTGAATTTTATAAACTCTACTCAGTAAAATGGAAAGCAGATTGTATCCTTAAATATGGGTAGTTCTGGGGTGGTGCTTCAGAGCGTGTCATGGGCTAATAGGACCGGGTTTGTACTCTAGCTGTACCACTTCCTACTTGTTGGCTTTAAGTGAGCGATTTAATCTTCCTGTTAGCTCTTTTGCAACATGAAGCTACTCCTGTCTACTTAAGGAATTGCTAAGGAGACTGTGATGTATCTATGAAGTATCTGACATATTAAGGATGCTCAATGAACGGCCAACTCTTACCTGACTGATGCCACTGAGTCATTTTGTTGCTGGAATAATTCTAGGAAAAATAGGAAACGTGATTTGCCTTAGGTCACATTTCCCTGTCCAACTCATTTACTCAGAAAATCTTACTTATATGCTGTTGAGCATTATGGATATAGATGTGAATGCAAACAGCAATGTCCTTCAGGGAGTTCACATCTAACTGGTAATGATGATAGGTAATAGATAATTAAAACCCAACTAGTATGTGCTTTGGGAGAAATCATCAAACTGCAAGTCCTGATGCAGTGAACACACCAGTTGCCAGGAGCACAGGAAGGTCAGGAAAGCAAAACCTTTTTCCTCTGTCTTTACAAGGTTCTCCCTGTATCCATCAGCTGCCAATTCCAATCAAAATGTGATGTAAGCCCTGCAGTGCCCAACTGGGATCTTTTCTCAGTCCAATTTTTACTCAATCTATTCATGGTCTATCTGCCAAAACCCCAGATAGCCCTTGATTATAAGTCCATTGTTGAGGCTTCCAAGAGCAGTAGGTCAACCAAGGAGTCCTGAGTCCCCTGAGTGGTCTGCTCAAAGGGGCATGAAATATGTCAGTCAAACCTCCTCTTCATTCTAATACCTGAAATTCTGGGGGCTGGGAATTATGGAACCAGCAGCACAGAATATGTAAGAACTAATTACAATTTTTTAAAAAGTTATTACTAACCAACTGCAAATCAGTCATAATCTTGATTAATCCTCATACCAAGTCCCATTTTCATTTAGAGATAAAGAAATGGGGGAAAAGATTAAACAAAGATAAGAGGGTGGATTCGCAAAATTGGGTTTAGATTTTTTTTTTCTTTCTAATTTTGAGGTCCTGGGGATTGAACCTCAGTTCTTGCACATGCTAGGCAGGTACTCTACCACTGGGTACATTCTCAGCATTTTTTTTTTTTTTTTTTTTTTTTGTATCAGGGATTGAACTCAGGTCCTTGCGCTCTCGAGGCAGGTGGCAGAGCCACTGAGCTAAATCCTTGCCCCACACTCTCAGCCTTTTTAAAATCTTATTTTGAGGGAGGACGTCTTTAAACTTCTGATCTTATTGCCTCAGCCTCCTAAGTAGCTGGGATTACAGGCATTGGCTACCATGCCCGGCTCTCAGAATTGGGTTTAAATCTAGGTCCTCACATTTAGGAGCTAGTGCCCTTGTTATTTAATCGCATAGCAATCAGTCACCTTATTTTAGATGGCTGTTAACGAAGATTAAGTTAGCTATGCCGGTGAAGTGTATAGTTGTGTCCACTCAGAAAGCCCTTAAAGACGTTAGTTTTATTACTGTTTTTGTTTAATCATTGTGCAGGGTCACATTGCTATGTGAAATTTCAAAACCAAGCAGAGATTACAGTACTTCAGACTCCTTTTGCTCCTAAACTATACAATATGAGCAGGTGATTGGCCCCAAACTACCTTAGGGACTGCAGGTCCTGGCCAGGCAGTAGGGAGGGAGGATCACCTCCCACATGGTAAGGCTTCCCTCCTGCCCCACTCCCCAAAGCTGGACTTCGGTTGGGTTCCCCGATAGCTTCAGGGTGCAGGCATAGTAGCTACAGTGTTTCCCATATCTACCTCTGCAGCTGACCTTCCAGCTGAGTAGACAAGAGACTCCTTCACAGAAACAGTTTACTTCTTAGATCATCTGTCTCTAGAAAGGGGCGTGTCACAGGCAGAAATACAGGTCCAGAGGCACTGTCTTTCGAAGAGAGTCCAGGTTCTGTGTTTGTCTTCCCTTGCCCCATTTCTTGGATGGGAAAGCTGAGGTTCAGAGAGGCCTTTCTGCTAGGTGTCTAGGCTCTTTTGAGGAATGCTCTTGAAGGTCACGGGGGTTAAGTGAAGAGGTTAAGACCTTGAGATGGAGTCAGACCCATGAGTTCCGGCTTGGCTTCCGACTCGCTGAGAGAACTCGGGCAGGCCTCTTTTGGCCAAGGGTCTCAGTTTCTTCATTCATGCGAAGAAGAAGGGAAGCTGTTTTAGGTGAGGCCAAGGCCTCTAAAAAAGGGGCAGAAAGTCTGCACCTCCAGCGCCGCCAGCGCCGAGAGCTGGGCCTGCAGGCCTACAAGCCCCAGCATGCCTACAAGCCCCAGCATGCCTCGGGAAGGGGCGGGGCGCAGTGACTGACAGACGGCCCTACGAATTGGCACCCAAAGAGGGGGCGCGCCGCGGCGCAGGCGCGTAGGGCGGCGGGCGGATGGGCTGGTTGCGGTGGACGTGTCGGAGCCGCGGGCGGTCAGGTAGGGGGCGGGAAGGAGGGTTGGGGACCCGGGTCTGCGGCCACAGTCCAGGGCGTTGGCTGAGCGGCAGAGCAGGTTGCGGGGGGGGGGGGGGCGCATGCCCGAATGGCAGAGTCTGAGGACTGGATCTGAGGGGCAGTGGTGGGTGGGGGTGGGGGTGGGGGTGGGGCTGTGAGGAGCTGGCTGCTGGGGCCGGGGAGATCCGAGGCGATGCAGCAGGGGGAGGGGAGTGAGGGGCTCTGCGAAGCTTCGCAGTGGCTGCATCTCTGGACGTGTGAGGTAGTAATATAGGGCCCCTGAGGAGAGACAGGGTGCAGCGTCTGGAGATAGGAAAGAATGAGGCGACTGGAAGGGTCTGGGTACACAAATTTCAGATATATGATGGGATTGGGAGGCTCTGATGAGATTCGAAGTGAGAAATCTCAGGAGCTTTGAGGAAACCTGGGGGCGATAGGAATTTGGGCTGGGGAACAAGATCTGAGATCAGAGCAAACAGTCTAATTGCTAACGAGAAAGGGATTTCCGGAGCAGGATCTGAGGGGATCGAGGGATGAGTTCCAGGGAGAATCAGTAGGAAACAGTATCCTGTTAGCTAAAAGAAGGACATGGCAAAGGTTTGAAACCAACACATGAGGTTGGAAGGAGGAAGGAGTAGGGTTTGAGGGCGGCACAGCGCCTGATAGAATGCAGGAGATGGGGTTCAGATTGAGACAGGGCAGAAATCTGAGGTGTAGGACTGGGGCGTTTAGCTGGGATGCAGGACTGAAGACTACAGAGATTTGAAACAGGAATTAAAGAATATGTCAGAGGGATTTGGGGCACATGAGTGAATAATAGGTGAGGGTTGTGAGACTGCAATATATTGCTCAAAATTCTAAATTGTAAGAGGGTTGGGAACAGTGTTTAGAGAAGATTGAAATGGTGGAATAGGGATGCCTTAACTGGGCCATGGAATTGAAAGACTTTGGGTTAGATTTGTGGGTTGGTTTCTTGGGCTACTAAAGGAATTTTCTTGACCTCTCTGCATGGAAAGCAGGAGGAGTTTGGGGGACCTAATCACCTAAAAATCACCTATGAAACTGTGTATGAGTGTGTGAAGTTTTAACAGAGTTCAAGGATTTAGGAATAAAGTCGTAGACATTCCCTGTGAAAGGCAGAGTCTTCTTCACTTATTATCCAAGATCCTTTATTCTAAGATATGCATGGTACTGCCACTAGCTCCTTTAACCATCCTACTCTTTCTACTGCTTGATGAAAGTGTTGGGCTTTGGAGAAGAGGATGGTCAAAGCTAGAGACTTAAGGTAGGAAACGACTCAAAGTTATGTGCCTACCCCTCCCTTTGTACCCCCAAGCTGTGATAGCAGATGTGTGAGACCTGGGTGGAAACGAGTAGAACATTAATCCTGTAAGGTTTATTATAGCTCAAAGAGGCAGTGGCTCTGTGAATGAAATGTTTGGGCTGAGAGAGAGACAAAAGCCAAGGGGACTTATGTATTGTGCCTTCAGACCTATGCCATGTTCTAAAACAGTATTTCTTAACCAGGAGTAATTTTGTCCCTCAGAGGACATTTAGCAAGGACTGGAAATGTTTTTAGTTGTCGCAGGTGTCAAGGTACTACTGGCCTCTAGTGGGTAGATACCAGAGACACTATTATATCTTACAATGCATGGAAGAGCCTTCACAGCAAAGTATTATCTGACGACAAATGTCAGTAATGCCAAATTGAGACACCTTGCTCTACAGTCAGATACTCTGGGTTCAAATCCTGGCTCTATCTTTTCCTGACCTTGTGGACTTGAGTGAGTTACTTACATTTTAATGCCTTGAATTAATGGCAGAACTGAAGATATTATAAGGATTTAGTGAACTAAATCAGGGTACCTAGTGTTGAGTGCATAGTAAGTGCTCAAATTGCGGCAGTTTTTAGTTTTTACTATCACTTTCTTACTCAGTTTTGTTTTGTTTTTTAAGAGACGGGGTTTTTTGCTATGTTACTAAGTTGCCCAAGCTGCCTCTCATTCAGTTTTCATAATAGCCCATTTATATATCTAAATCTATTTTAGTGACATAGTAATGACAGAGTTAAGCTCATATCCAGACCCTGATAATGTATATTCTCACCTTCTTTGTTGCTTTTTTTGGTGGGCTCTGCTTAGTCTTGTTTTCTCAAGACTCTTAATGAAGAAGAGGATGACCCAGTGGGAATCATCGAATATCAAAGTGAATTCTAAAGGGGGTGTATATAGATCTCTCTGTTTGGGTAGGGAGGAGCCCTGGACTCTGTTCTTGGCTTGCTCTTTGACCAGGACCAGTGGGATAGTAAGGGGAGGACCTTGAGAATAGCAAGCTTGATGAGGTACAAGGGCCTATAGGATGAGTCCATTGGCTTCAAAATACACCATAAAGCAGATCTCAGGCGGAGGGCAGTTGTAATTTGAAGGAGAGTAACTACTGTTCTAAATGATGTCCTTTGCGCTTCCTTCCTCTGTGACAGAATAGTAGAATTAGCTTCGTCACCAGAAAGACTAGGTATCGTATTGTCAAAATTACTTTAGAAACAAATCCAGATGAGACTTAGCTGGAATGGCCACACATACTCCTGACAATAATATGTAATTTGAATTGAGTTAACCTTGAAATCAGAAGCTTGAAGTCCAAACTCTTTACTTTGCTGCTTATTTTCTAAGTGACCTCGGTCAAGCACTTGTCCTGTCAGCCTCAATTTATTAAAAATATAAATAGTTGTACTTGCTGAGTGCTTATCTCTGTAAATCCTGCCGCAATTTTGGCAACAATCTAGTTGTTATTCCTTATAGGTGAGAAAACTAATAAATTAAATGATTTAACCTAGGCTACATAGCAAGGAGTTAAGGAGGAATTCAAAACCTTGTTCCATTTGACTCCTGGATTACATTATGTAGCTTTAATAGAAGAACTTTTCCAACACTTAAAATTCCCTACGCCTATGTCTGGAGAGTGGTTGGAAGCGAAAAGTTTACAAGGTTCTTGAAATGGATCATCTTCCATGCACATGCTGATGCGCTTCCTTTGTAACACTCCCTCCATTAGGTCCTTTGGTAGAAAAGTCAGGTTTAAAAGTCATTCCTAGATGTTGGTTCCAACCCATCAGCCAGCCTGTGCCAGGGGGGCATGGCAGTCACATTTGTGTCAGTATGGTTTTATGGCTGGTTTCATTTACACATGGGCATTTTGGTCAGTATTCTACTAACCAGTTTTTAGACCTCGGATAGGTTGCTTTTCTCAGAACATTGTTTTCCTTACTTGTAAAGAGGAATAACATTTGTCACATAATTTTGAGAATAAGAGTGATGTACAAGGGCCGGGGATTTAGCTCAGTGGTTGTGCCGCCTGCCTCGAAAGCTCAAGGACCTGAGTTCGATCCCAGGTACCAAAAAAAAAAGAGTGATGTACAAAAAGTTTCTGATATTGAGTAAATAAAAGTTGTTCTATGAGAGGTCGCAATTACAAGATAAAGGTAAAGCTGAAAGGGACCTAAGTGTTGCTTTGCTTTGCTTTGATAACCCTAAGTGGTGTTTCTCAGCATTTTCCAAATTCTCATCCCATCTATTATTCCCAGTACCTGCTTCTTAATCCATTAATCAAAAATCTCATGATTAGAGCTGGAGATATAGCTCAGTGGTAGAGGGCTTGCCAAGGAAGCCCTGAGTTTAATCCCTAGTACTGCAAAAACCAAATAGAAAACACCTTGTGATTAAATGATCACATATATGCAGAAAAATGAACTGTAAAAGAGTTGAGTGAGGTGAGTAGAAGTCCCTTGGGAAAAGGCTTGGATTTTTTTTTTCCACTTTATATTCTGTGAGTCATGTTGATAGCATAGGTATTACCCAAATGTGATGATCACAGGTATTTTTTTTAAGGTATTAGAGATTGAATCTAGGGCCTCTGAGCTACACCCCTAGTCAAGGGAAACTTTCAGCAAGCTTTTGAGAAAGAAACAACAGGCAAACATTTTTTCCAGTAAGCCCTATTATTGCTTTAACTTAGTTTAGCCAAAAGTTTCCTTTTCCACAAACATGTTTCCTTCTGTTTTAAGTGTCCCATACTGATACAACTTTGGGGATGTGCCAGTGTCTTCCTTAGCTGTGTGCAGGTGCTTTAAATGCTCTGAGTGGGTAAACGTCAGGCGATAACCCCACTGACTTCCTGAAAATCAGTCTTGCTATTGAGTGACCTTTGTGCATGGAAGTGGTTATGCACTTAACATTCTGTTAAAATGCATGAGGAATAAATATAGTTTAGAAAGCTGACATGAAAGGAAAAGTAATAAACCTTGTAAAAACCCCAGTCAAACCAGGAGAGTACGTTACTAGAAGAACAGAGCTTATGGAAGGACTGTAGTATTTTACTTGGCTAATTTTAATGTGAAAGCTCTTTTCCTGTCCATTTCTTTCTCAAAAATACCAGTCCCTTTCACAGGAATGGACTCACAGTAGGTGCTCAGTAAAGATTGTTTTTAATTAATTGCTTAAGTTTCTCTAGTTTTGCTTATGGTCTAAGCCACCGTGAGTGCAGGAGAATGAGCCACTGATACAGTGCAAGAAATAGAGACGATCAAGTAAATTCATTTAGAGAAAGACCCTGTGACAGATACTCAAGCATTGCATGAACATTTGAAACCTTGGGTCATCTCAAACTTTTGTTTTTGATATTAGGTAAAACAATCTCCAAAAAGACTCAGAATTTTTATTATTTAAGTGATTGTGATGCCTTAGGTGTAGTCTGCCTATTGAAAAGTGCCTCTTCATTTCTTCTCATAGGCTGAGTGGTAGTGGTGACAGGTGGTAGCTGCTACCACTGCTAATAATAAAAGTTGTATTTCTGCACAGCTAATTGTATGCCTGGCTTGGTGCTGTAATAAGTGTTTTACACATATAAACTCATTTAAGCTGTACAGTAGCTATGTGAGGAAGTTACTGTTTTAGAGCCACTTTTCACAGACAAACTGGGAACTAGATAAGTTAAGTTAAATAACTTGCCTAATCTCCACAGTAGTAGAGTTCGTATTCAAATCCAGAACGACTGGCTTCTAAGTCCACTTCCTTAGTCTTTGTAATACTGTTTGCTCCTAGCTCCTGCCTTTTAGTCCTAGTTCTGCTGAATGATATGAGCTTAGTTTCCCTATTCTGGTCTTAGTTTCCTCCTTTATATTACTCTCTGAGATCACTACTGATGGTAACAGTCTATGTTTAGTCTGTGGCAGAAGGAGCTGCAGCAGTTTACTTTGGGCCAAGAGACGTTGTGAATTCCGTTGCCTATTAGCTTCTAGTCTGGATGTTTAGCGTTCTTAATCAAACTCCTCCAAAACTGACCAATCCTTTCATTAATTTTTATGAGCCTTTACTTCCCATGAAAAGGAAGGTTCTTCATTCTTTCAAACTTTAGTTATAAACTGAATTCATTGTTAATACTAGTACTAATGGTCATTGTCAGTGCTGTTCCTGATTGTCCTTAACATTATGGTAAATAGCATCCTTTCATTGAGTACTCACCAGTATCAAGCTAAGTAATTTATATGTGCTATCCCTAATCACCACAATAATATTTTATAAATTAAATAAAAGAGATCTAAAGAAGTTAATAACTTGCCACCTATCCTGTATCTTATAAATGAGTGTGCTAAGACTTGATCTCAGTTCTGTCTGAGTTTCTGTTGTTTTGTTTTGTTTGATTTTTGCCTTCTGTACTACCCTGATTATTTATTTCATGGACTGGGGAAAACCTGATGGTGCCATAAGAGGCTAGACCAGGCTTGGATGATATTAAAAAATTTCCCTGAGTCTAAGGGCAGCCAAAGTAGACACAGTTTAAGGAGTGTATTCTCATGTGGAGTCCAAGAGAAGTGTTAATATCATTATGGAATGTGTAGTATAAACCATCACATCAAAAGGGTAAGAAGGGGGTACACTGGGCTTAGATGAGGTGAGAGATTAAATCTTGACAGTATGTAGTATGCAACAGAAACATGCTTAAGGGATTAAAATGGGCAAAATTATAAAGAGCATGTTGGGGTTTCATTCTGGTTGGTCACAGATCTTATAGCTGGCAGAAAATGGGCAGCATACTTAAAGACTTTGGGTGATAAGACAGTTCTTTTCACTTGTGTCTTCTTTTCAGGGAAACTCATGTCAAACTGAGCTTCCATATGAGTCATTCTCAGTATTAACACTTATGCCCACATGTACCCTTCTGGAGGAGAGAGTCTGCATCTGCCTATTTCTTCTATTTCAGGCTAAGAAACTTCTGAAAGCTATATTCTTACGTCATGATTTGGGCTTTTTCCAGGTTTCAGACTCTTCATGCCTGAGACTTCTTTAATAGTAGGAGCTTATGTTTCCCTAGCAAAGCATGGCAGCTTCAGGGCAGGAATTTTTCCCATCCTCTGAGAATCTGGTGAGCTGTAGACAACTGAGATAATTTTGGGCATGGATGTGGGCATAGTAAATTCATTTTTTAAAAACTGATGGTTTAGACAGGGAGGCAGGAAGCTTTTTAATTGAAGGAGGTGGTATGATATTTCCCTAATGCTGGGGAAAGAATTTGCTGGTACTGTATTTTTACAAGTTGGCAGACTTGTTTAATTAGCGGATGTGCATTGCCAGCTCTGAAAGAACAGATGTCCCTGCACATTGTAAGGTAACAAGCTCCGGATCCAAACACCAAATGTTGCCCTCAGTCTCTTGTCCCAGATGATAGAAGAGACAGTAAAGCTATTGGTTTAGAATTGAGAAGGTTTACATGGATCCTGAGTTGAAGTTTCTATCAGAATTTCTGTATTCTTGCTCCCAGATGCATGACATATAAGAATTTAACCTTTACAGTTATCCATATGAAGCATCTTAAGTTCATGATATGTGCTGATTTGTTATTTTGTTGAGACACGGACTTAAGTCATATTTTTCTTTTTTTCATGAGAGGAATGAGAATTATATGTTATAAAGGTAGCATTTTTGATGGCCTGGTCTATTGGGCTAGAGAACACTTATGAATAAGTGTTTCATGACAGAAAAAAATTTTAAAAAGGAAAAGAAAAAAAAGTGACTTGCAATTTGATATCAGGTTAAACAAAGTAAAGATATCCGTTCTGCACAGTTCCATGATGTTTGAGCTGCATGAGTTTGAGCCAGTTTTTCTGAACTTTAGTTTTCTCATCCGTAAAGTAGGATAATGAAAATATTAACGTATTTTAAACTATCTATATGAGGACTAAATGAGATTAAGCATATAAAACACCTGGCTTGATATCTAGCATATAGTAGAATAAATACTAGATGAATTTCCTTGCAGTAGGGGGATTTCAGGAAAGTTAAGATTGACTTTAGATAAACTGTAAATGTTTGCTGCTATTTTTCAAATTGCACTGATGGTAGAAATTAGTTGTAATATGTGTCTCTACATATACCATTACCCTTTTGTATTGCTGGAGAAAGTTGATGATATGAGCAAAGCTTTCCTTAGCTAGGCACATTGTCCTTAAATCCAAGCTAACTGGTCCTCCACCTTCTTGATAGTGAGCCCATAGGATTTGCACTTAAGAGGGCTGTAGTTAGCCATGTGCCCCACCTTGCTAGATATATTCATTCTAATTGGGAGTATAAGTTGGCAATAACATAAGGCTGCAGAGCGCTGAGATCTTTCTAAGTCAGATTCATGAGCATATGTGAGGAGAGTGAGAACGTTTGTAATATATACTGGGTGAAGCAGGAGTATTCCAAGCCAGAAATACAATGTCTTGATAAAGAGCTACTATTTTTTAAATCATCCAGGCTTGAATATTTGGCCATTGTAGTGCTTCACTCCCTTATTATAATCTACTCAGTTTCCAAGTCTTACTGATTATACTTCTGGAATAGTGCTCAAATGTATCTTCTTTCTATTAATATCTGCTCCGTAGTTCAGACTTCTGTTATCTGCCCTAGGGTATTTTGCGGAAGCTTCCAAACTAGTTTCTCTGATTTCTTTTTCCTTACTTCATTCTATCAGTTCCCTGCTGCAGAACATTTGTGGTTTCACCATGCACGTCAAAACAAATTTCAAAAATTCATATTTTGGCTCTGAAGACCTTTTATAGTCATTCCCCAGTTTGCCTTTCCAAGCCTTTTAATGTTTCCCTCTGTATTCTACCATAATTTTAACCTAAGGATAAGACAAAGAACAAAGGTTCATTTAAGATATTAGTACAGAGCCAAATATTAGTGTTCTTTAGACGGTAGTACATATATTATTTAATTTTAATCCTTACAGTAACCCTGTAAATGCATTATTATTTGCATTTTACAGATGAGAAGAATAAAACAGAGGTTAAGTGTTTTCTCTTTCCAGCACAGAACACTTGTCTTTTCCCCTGATTTCCAGCCTTTGTAAGACTGTGCCCTTTGCTGAGTACTCATTCCCCCCCATCTCTACCTTTCTATGCATTCTTCAAGGCTTACATCAAATGGCATGTTTTCTTTCAACTTAGAATAAATCCATCTTAACTTTCCTCAATCTTAGTTTATATTTCATTTAAACTACCCTCTACCTTGATTATTTACATATCTTGTCTCCTTTTTATTTTTATTTTTTGGTACCGGGGATCGAACTTGGGACCTTGCGCTTGCAAGGCAGGCGCCGGAACCACTGAGCTAAATCCCCGGCCCGAGTTTTTTTTTTTTTTTTCTGTTTTTTTTTTGGTACCGGGGATCGAACTCGGGTCCTTGCGCTTGTGCTTGTGGGACAGGCAGTGGAACCACTGAGCTAAATCCCCAGCCTCTTGTCTCCTTTTTAAAGTTTGAGCATCTAAAGAGCAGACTCTATATCCTAAAAACCTCTTAATATCAATTATAGTACATGATACCTAGACTAGGATAGATGGATAGGTCAATAGGTAGGAAGATAACTGAATGGAAAATATGTATTTTGTGGTCTGATATTTTGCAGATCACCTAAAGCTAATGAGCAGAACTTTCTGTTTTTCTGGATAATTCCTAGGTCCCAAACATAACACAGTAAACCCTATGACATAATAAAAAGTCTTCCACACTTTTGCTTATGCTGTATTCTTTGCTTAAAGTACCATTATCTTTCATTGCCTTGTTTCTTTCAACACACATTTTAGGAGTGACACTGTTTGTGGGCACCCTTACCAATTTCCTCTTGGTAGAGTATCAGTCCATCCACTGTACTCCTATATGATCTTGTGGACCTTCATGGTACATTTATTCTTCTAACTCTACATAATTTTTGGTACTTTTCTACTAGTTTGAATTATAAGTTATAAAATTCACAAAATATTAATACTAGCATTTATTATAAGTATACTTCTTGCCAGGTTCTATACTAAAAGCATCATGATTATCATTTTATTTAACCCTTATAATAACTACATAAAGTAGACACCATTATATCCATTTCTCAAGTAAGTGATGGAGAAACAACTTCAGGAAGTTTAGGTTACTTCCTCAGTTCCTATCCTTGATGTAGTGATTTGGCTGGTTTTCATTTCCCTTTTTTATTATCACCTGCTACATAACAGACCTCAATATGTGTTAAATAAGTGAATGACGGAATGAATGATCATAGCTATTCTCTAAATGTTTCTTGACAGAATTAATTTGTTTGAGCAGTGGAAAATGAATAATGGTTTCTTTTTCTCTTTAGCAGGAATTTGACTCTCTGGGGCATGAATACTAAGCTATTTGGTTCTGGGCTGTGCTAGCAGGACCCTTCAACAGAAGTGCAATGGCCACAGCAGCTGCTTCTCACCTGAACCTAGATGCCCTCCGGGAAGTACTGGAATGCCCTATTTGTATGGAGTCCTTCACAGAAGAGCAGCTGAGGCCCAAACTCCTACACTGTGGCCATACCATCTGCCGTCAGTGCCTGGAGAAGCTTCTGGCCAGTAGTATCAATGGTGTTCGATGCCCCTTTTGCAGCAAGATTACACGCATAACAAGCCTCACGCAACTGACAGACAACCTGACAGTGCTGAAGATCATTGACACAGCTGGGCTCAGTGAGGCCGTGGGCCTGCTCATGTGCCGGTCGTGTGGCCGGCGACTACCCAGGCAGTTCTGCAGGAGTTGTGGTTTGGTGTTGTGTGAGCCCTGCCGGGAGGCAGAACACCAGCCTCCTGGCCACAGTACACTCCCTGTCAAAGAGGCAGCTGAGGAGCGGCGTCGGGACTTTGGAGAGAAGTTGACCCGTCTTCGGGAACTTATGGGGGAGCTGCAGCGGCGGAAGGTGGCCTTGGAAGGTGTCTCTAAGGACCTGCAAGCTAGGTATAAGGCAGTTCTTCAGGAGTATGGGCACGAGGAACGCAGGGTCCAGGACGAGCTGGCTCGCTCTCGGAAGTTCTTCACGGGCTCTTTGGCTGAAGTTGAGAAGTGCAATAGTCAAGTGGTAGAGGAACAGAGTTACCTACTTAACATTGCTGAGGTGCAGGCTGTATCTCGCTGTGACTACTTTCTGGCCAAGATCAAGCAGGCCGATGTAGCACTACTGGAGGAGACAGCTGATGAAGAGGAGCCAGAACTCACTGCCAGCCTGCCCCGGGAACTCACCCTGCAAGATGTGGAACTCCTTAAGGTGGGTCATGTTGGCCCTCTCCAAATTGGGCAAGCTGTTAAGAAGCCCCGAACAGTTAACGTGGAAGATACTTGGGCCATGGAGGCTGCAGCTTCTGCTGTCTCTACTTCTGTTACTTTTAGAGAGATGGACCTGAGCCCTGAGGAAGTAGTTGGCAGCCCTAGGGCTTCACCTGCTAAACAGAGGGGTTCTGAGACAGCTTCCAATATCCAGCAGTGCCTCTTTCTCAAGAAGATGGGGGCCAAGGGCAGCACTCCAGGCATGTTTAATCTTCCAGTCAGTCTCTATGTGACCAGCCAAGGCGAAGTGCTGGTTGCCGACCGTGGCAACTACCGTATACAAGTCTTTACCCGAAAAGGCTTTTTGAAGGAAATCCGCCGCAGCCCCAGTGGCATTGATAGCTTTGTGCTAAGCTTCCTTGGGGCTGATTTGCCCAATCTCACTCCTCTCTCTGTGGCCATGAACTGCCACGGGCTGATTGGTGTGACTGACAGCTATGACAACTCCCTGAAGGTATATACCTTGGATGGCCACTGCGTGGCCTGTCATAGGAGCCAGCTGAGCAAACCATGGGGCATCACAGCCCTGCCATCTGGCCAGTTTGTGGTAACTGATGTGGAAGGTGGAAAGCTTTGGTGTTTCACTGTTGATCGAGGAGCAGGGGTGGTCAAATACAGCTGCCTCTGCAGTGCTGTGCGGCCCAAGTTTGTCACCTGTGATTCTGAAGGCACCGTCTACTTCACCCAGGGCTTGGGCCTCAATCTGGAAAATCGGCAGAATGAGCACCACCTGGAAGGTGGTTTTTCCATTGGTTCTGTGGGCCCTGATGGGCATCTGGGTCGCCAGATTAGCCACTTCTTCTCAGAAAATGAGGATTTCCGCTGCATTGCTGGCATGTGTGTGGATGCTCGTGGTGACCTCATCGTGGCTGATAGCAGTCGCAAGGAAATCCTCCATTTTCCTAAGGGCGGCGGCTATAGTGTCCTTATTCGAGAGGGGCTCACCTGTCCAGTGGGCATTGCCCTCACTCCTAAGGGGCAGCTGCTGGTCTTGGACTGTTGGGATCACTGCATCAAGATCTACAGCTATCATCTGAGAAGATATTCCACTCCTTAGAGGATGAGAAATACCATTTTCCTCTGTTACCTAGTCAGCTTTCCTTCCCTTAGTTCTTGGGTATTGGTGGTACTATAGAATAGACTTGGTGTATGTCTTTTGATTCCAGCTGGGTTGTCCTAGAATTTTAGAAGCTCTATCTTTCAGTGTTTGTTGTTTGTTATTCCCTTCTCCTCGTGCCAGCCCCAAATAAATTTACAGCTTTAACAGATGCATTATCCCAAATAGGACACATGATGATGTTAGCTGTGGTTTGATTAGAAATTAGTCACTTGCCAGGCTTCAGTAGAGCCACCTCAGCTCTTGTATTTGAAATTTGCCCTTGTATTGAACCCTTGTTGATTTTTTCCTTTTGATGTCCCTGATATATTGTTTCTTTCCTATTATAAGCTTCATCTGTGGAACTTCCTCTTCAACTCTGGTTGCACTCTGTCTGCATGCTTCAGTTGGATCTGCTCAACCTTTCAGTGACATTTCAGACATTTACCCCTGCAGCATGATATCTTAGGCTGATCAGTGTGAAAGTACATTTATTAAGCGCCACCAAGGGAGATACACATTCCCTTTGGGAAGGAATACCTTTTGGCTGGGAATATGTGCCATCTTGGATTAGTCTCTTATTGCAGATGTACCAGAGAATGCACTGACCCTACCTGGTTAGTGTTGAAGACTTCACTGGGAATTGTTTGCCTTTTAAAGGAACATGTGGATTAAAATCATGCCACAGCATAGGAAGGTGGGAATAAGCAAATATAAATGTTCCTACAGCCAGGAAACTTTAATAGTGTCTAGGACTCCTTATGTTTCATACTCCTTCCACCAACCTGTGATAGAAGTTTGAGGAATTGTAGAACACAGGCCATGGCCAACAAAGTGGGGATGTGGACATACTCATTTTCATTACAAAAACAAACAACTTTTGGGTACTCTGTATTTTCTTTAAGTGAGTGCATAATATTTGGCTTTGGAATTTATTTCAGTTCTTCCCAGCATTAAATAATTGATAATTGTTTCTTCATCAGTGGTGGTCATGTCCTTCAGTTAAATACGGGATTTGGGAGCCAAGGAGGACAACTTGTACTATGCTGTTTTATTTCCTTGCCTGACACTGTTCTTTGCAATCATAGGGATCTAGCCAGGTCAGAATTCAGCTGAAAGCACCATTATGTGAAGATACTCCAAATCGCACTTCCACTTGTGAACAGAATCAGCCTCCAATCTTTGGAGTCACCCTGTTCAAAACCAAGCCTTCACCACATGGATATGTTTAAGTTTTATAATTACAGTTCAGAAAAGAAAACCAGAGTCGCACATTTAAGACTAGAAGTGAAAGAATCTGTGATGAGATTCCATAACTTTGGTGTTTACTAAGCACCATATCTTGCTTTCTAGGTGCAGAGATGATGGCAAAGAAAAGGCTAGTGTCTTGCTTTCACAGAAACAGAATTTCTAAACTGAGGTTCTCGTAACTATTTTTAGAAGTTTCAGTGTTGCCTCCCCACCCCACTTCAGTTGTGATTGGTTGCCACAGGACAGGTAAAGAATTAAAGTGACCTTGAACTAGTTTGTCTTTCGCTTTTCACCGAGAGAAAGCCCCATGTTCTGATTATGAAATTTCATCTGGTTTTCAAAGGTCATATAATTGAGAGGAAATTGATCGAATTAAAAGTACATCACTAGTTATTAGAGCCATTTTATCTGGTGGCACCCAGCAGCAGGAGATCTGTCTTTGCTGTCAGTGGGAGACTTGCTGAGGCAATAATATCAGCCAGGCCTTTGCCATATGGTTTGCTGCAGAGAAATGAATATGATATTGTGGGCTGGCTTGAGGTAAACAAGGCTAGGAATCCTCCAGCGGCCTATGCTTTGGGAAGAAAGTGCTGCTACTGATTGGCATTCAGCAGTTGGACCTGTCCCCATCTCTACACTGCAGTCATACTCAAATAAAGCAAGTATCTGCAGGCTTAAAGTGTGGTCTAAATGTTTTTGTTTCTTTTTACTTATACATGTGAGTATTTTGAGCTGTGCTTAGTACAGTTTTCAGTTATCTGCCATGTTGACTATATTGGAGAGTATGGTCCCAGGAAACTACTTTCCTCACAGTAGTTGCTTTTGTTTTTTGTTTTGTTTTGCTTTGCTTTGCTTTTTAAAGCAGTTGAACGTTATCCAAATAAAGTCTTATAGGCAAATCTGTGATTTAAAAGAGATTAAAGAACAGTGGCTGTGGCTGAGGCAGATCTGTGAGGCTGGAGAACAGGCTACTTCCTCCCTTCACCACATCTGTGCTACCATTATAGAACACTTGTGAATCTACAGAATACTTCCTTTAAGCCATCAAACTACAGCATTCCTGCTTTTTCAGTTATATCTCTCTAGCCATGTGGCCTTGGGCACATCACTTAACTCTGAAAAATGATAAAAATGACCCCACCTTCTGAAAGAGTATGAGATAACAGATGTGAAAACTAACAGCTATGTTCAAGAAATGATAGCTGCTATTAACTTCCTTATTGAGTTGCTCAGAAGAGTATTTCTCTGATGTGAGGTGGTGGGACAACACCTAACTATTCTTTCCTTCTTGCCTACCTTATCACTTTGCAGGTTTCTATTTGGCAACCAAAATATTTCTCAGGCATTTTCTTTCTTTAACCATATGTCTCCAAACAAATCATTACCTGTTCCATTCCACTAGCTATTCATGTTTCCAGTATTAATCAGTGTCAATATTATTTTTCCATGTACAGTATCTAAGCTTTATTGGAAACTAGCTAATCTTTAGCTACCAGCACATATAAAATGTGCCTGGTATAAAATACGTTCTCACTTACTGCATTCACTTAGTTATCTACTCAACTCAACGGTGACTCCAGTAATCTGAAGCCTCCTGCTGCAGCCTTCTTATAATGGATAAAAAAGAATTCTCAGATAAGCCCTTTTAAAGATGTATAAAAAAGCTAATGGGAAACAGCTGACTTAGGTCAGTTAAGGCTCTGCTTCCCTGTGTCATTTTTCATTAGTTATGGAAAATTTAAATTACTGGAGCAGTGATTCAGTTTTTATTGAGCACCTACTGTAGGCCAGGTACTTTGCCAGGTGTTTAGAAAAAATATTTAAATGTATTCTTCATAAATTACTCCACAGTCTTTCTTGTCTAATGTACTTGAAATCCATATTTTGTTGTTTGAGACTTCTTCAGAAGCCAGGCATAGGCTGTGTCTGAATTACCGTGAAGTCGATCCCAATGTATGCTTCAGTCTGAGATAGTCTGCAGAGAGGCACTCCATTGTTCCAATCAGAATAAATGTGGCTTGAACTATACAGTATTTCTGTGAGTGAGACAAGTAATGCTTACATCGATGTACTTTTTTATCTAGTGCTTAATAGCCTCTTAAAGATGAAGTCCTACCCAGCTCTGTAAGAGGGAAATGGAAAACAGCTAACATGAGACTCAAGTCTACATCTGACTAGGATGCTGATTTACACTCCGACCGTGCAGCCCCTCAGGGCATCTCAAAGCAGATTACAGATATGAAACATCAGATGCTTGGATGAATTTTACAAGCAGGGCAGTTGTGAGGTAACCTTTTAGCAAAATGCACACTTAAGTCTCCAGACCTGTGGCTTTATCTTGTCAGTATCATTAATATTCACAGGACCTTGTCTAAGTATGAAGCTAGGCAGCTCTGGGACTGTAGTGCATTCTAGTGGGAAGATCATTGGACTTGGAGCCAGACCTTTGTCTGGATTCCAGCTCTGCCACTCAACTAGCTGGCTGTGTGACCTCGGGCAATCACCACATCACTGAGTATCATTTTCTCTATAAAATAATTGCTAAAATCCCTTCTAGCTCTATAATTTTGTTAACTGCTGCAAAATGTGATTGAGTTTCTCCCCAGTGTTTTTGCATATTACTTATTAGAGTAGAAAAAAACTTGCACTTTGGAATCAGTCCCAATTGTTTGGTCCGATTGCTTCTCTACCCTAACAATTGTGACCTTGTCTCACTTGTTTCCCTGCTGAGCTATAGTTTCCTATTGGTAAAAGAAAATGACAGTTTACATTTTAAAGGGCATCTATTTTGAGAATTAATAATGGAATAATATATGCAAAGTACCTAATTTTGAAAATGTGACTTCATTATATAAGACAAAGGCTTCCTTTTCCACCATGGTGAGCTGATACACATCCTTCAGGTAAATCTTGGGAGAGATTTCATACCTGTATTGGTGGAGCAACAACATATTCAGCACTGGTTGGCTTCTTTTTGGAACCAAGGATCGAACTTGGAACTTTGCACTTGCGAGGAGGCAGGCGCCAGAACCACTGAGCTAAATCCCCAGCCCTGGTTGCCTTCTTAATTAAAAAGCCTATTGGAGGAAGAGAGATTGCTGAGGGTGCCAAGGAGAAGCTCATTCACAGCAGTGCATCCCGCTAGGAAGGCTACACTTAAAACCTAAAGTCTAATTATTTAATTAAAGCAATTAAGAAAGCATCTTAAATGTTTTTGAAAGATAAATAGAATCAGGATTTTTAAAAGGTTATATGCAGATACTGTGTATGTGTGTGTGTGTGTGTGTGTATGTAGAAAAAAATTTTAAAGCTTAGAAACATGCATGTTTAACTGTTCTTGTAGTTAGCTATTCTAAAAAGAATTTTCCTCCAGATCAACATTCATTAACTCAAATTATAAAAATAAGCCACAAATCTCATTGTTAGATGGGAAGGGAGTCCCTAGTTTGGTCCTGCTTCCCCTACTTATTATCCCTATAGCTATTACACAGCTTCTTCACCTCAGTTTCCTTATTTGTAATATAGGGATTATTGTACATCTTACTGCACTGTTGTGAAAAGATGATAGACATAAAACACTTAGCAGGGTACACTGAGGCATTTTCAAAATTACAGTATATTAAGTGTATCTTAAAGCTACCATCATTCTTTGTGATACAGCAAAGACACAAAACTGGTAAGGAATCTATGCTTCTTTTCTTAAGGAAAATTAGTGGTCCACTGAAATCTTGATTGAAAACATGAAGATTTTGTGTAAGTCAGATGCATGTTTTTTCCTCTACAAGTAAAGTACGGATTTTCTTCTGGTGACTATAACAGCATTACATATTTTCACAGAATAAGCAGATCTGAAATACTATTCACTTACTCATGACACATATAAGACACCTACTGTTCATTCTCATTAGCATTACTTAATGAGTAATGAATCCAAATGTAAATCAGTCATGAATCTTGCAGTCAACTTGTGGTCTGACTGCAAAGATAAGATACGTAAACAATACAAATGCATTGAAGAATAAGATAAATGATACAGGAAATACTGTGTCAAGTGTTTGAGCACAGACTTTCTAGCTAAGAGGACCTGGTTGCTGAAGAACCTTGAAAGTGGAAAATCATGAAAAGACATATGATACTAATAGGAAAAGTAAGAAGTTCCTACTAGAGTGAGGAAACATAAAATTCAAAGGTCTAGAGATCCATTTGTTCATCATCCTTCCTATGAGTAATAATTCGAGTGGTTCTCTTTTTCTTGCCCTAAGTCATGTTATTTCTATAAGTAACCATGGCTCAGTGAGGCTTCATTCTTAAGGAAGTGGTATGGTGTGGATTAAAATCTGCTTGGATTCTTAGAGGTAGAGGGCAAAGTTTGAAAATACATCCTCTCCTCAGTTTTCTAATTTGTCTCCTTACTAGGTATCACTGATTGGCATAGTCTCATAATAAGTCTAGTACCTTTTCAAAATCCTGAAATAATAATCAAATGACTTCCCTTCAAAAGCTTGAACCAGTCAGTTTTCTGGTTTCCATATAACTTTGTGGTAGAATCTGATTCATTTTTTAACATTTGCCAACAGTTTTCTCTTTTCCCCCATATCAGAACATGCTCATAAAAAAGCTCAAGTGCTTCCACTTCCAGTGTCAGCCAACAAAGTTCAAACCTATCCACAGCCCATGCATGGGAACTCTCATTCCAGCCTTGCCACCAAGTGACTTTATAAAAGGCCAAGCTAGTCTCCTTTACTGCTCAAGCCATTTTTGCACCACTTGGTAGTACCCACTGCTTTCCCCAGAAGCTTCATTATGGGAGTAATAAATCTTTTCATACTTTATTTGGTATGAGTAGCATCCTCAGTCTCAATATCTGAAGCAACTTTGGGGTGGAGAGTCTTCCATTTTCATGTGAGATGACTACAGCAGTTGACACAACCTTGGGGCTTAGGAGATCACAACCACCACTAGAGGGCTTTCTTTTCGCCAGCTGGCTCTTGCTGGCTAGAATGTTTTCATCACTGCTGGGAAGCTTGTTCTTTGAGCTTTGCCACATTTGCTTCCTCATCCATTCTATATTATAGATCGATTCAGCTAAGTTTGAAATTTTGGTAATTGGCATTTAAGGAAAGGAGAAAGGTATTCTGTAGTCCTTAGTCTTGGTCCAGACCTATCAGTGAGTCTCAGATTTAATTGTGTGTTTGCATTCCAGCATAAGTGGTAACTGACAGTAGATTTGGAGGAATCAGTCTTATCTTGTGACTTCTGGTTAGTTGTCCTGACCAGACATTGTCTCTTTTCTATAGACCCTTCTTGGGAAATATGATACCCTATACAATATGCAGCCTGTTAGTGGTCACTCATGTGGAGGAAGGCTACATGAAATGCTGTGACTTACACTTCTAAAAGCAGACAGCTCATTAGGACTTTTTAAAAAATGCCTTTATTGCTGTCCTACCTGTACCACTGTGAACAAAAAAAAAAATCTGATCTTTAGGGTTATAGGAAAATACATGACACATCCATAGTTTCACCAAGGGATTAAGTCAAACCTGACTTAAACCAAGACTCCTTATACCGTGTAAGGCAATTATTGCCATCTGGGGAAGCCCTAATCCTGACGATACATATCTGTGACTGGAAGAAGAAATGTAAATATGAACAGGATAAAGAAGATTGCCCCCCAACATCTATAACTTGAGGAAAAAACATAAATATAAACAGGAAAAGATTGCCCCTCCAACACACACCAAACTGTATAGCGTAATTACCCCCCAAAAAACACTTTGAGGAAGAGGAAACAAAACCAGCCAAACTAGAAGTTCAAAACTTGACCTAATTAGAAATATAAAACTTACTAAAAGAATGTATATAGCCAAAACACAGCAAGATAAAAGGTTGCTAATTGACTTGCACCTCTACAACCTGAGTTCTCAGTTAACATCTGCCAAAATTTAATCGTCAAACCTTCACAGCCTTAAGACTAAGGCTCAAAGTAATTATACCTGAGAATTCTCCTAATTATAAGCAAGATAGCCCTATAATCTTGGGACAGTTTCTGAGAATATTTGAGTACTTATGTATGTTTCATCTTATTCATCAGAACTTGCCTTGCCTAAATTCCCCACAGCCATAGCACTCATTATCCTAAAGTATCCCATAGTGGGCATGGCTGCTTTTAACCAATGAGTAATAAAGTAAGTCTTTGGTACTTAATAATTGTTTTTGCCAAAATGGTACTGCATGGACCTTCCCCTCCCCCCATTAGTTAAAATAGTTAATATGGTGTGGTTCAAATTAAATCAAGGTCTTCAAAATTTGAAACCCATATATTAGACCTACTTATGAAAGAGTTAACTATCCCCACTGCTCCACTATTTAATGGCTCAATTTAGCCTGCTCTTAAACCTACAAATAATTCATGGCACCTCATAATGGATTGCTGCAATCTTAATGCCAAGGTTCCCTACCATACCAAATATTATTGATGAGTAACTCTATTCAACCAACACTGGTAAATACTTTGCAGTCAGAATTGGCTAGCATGTTCAGTGCCTATTTTACCTGCTTCTCAGCTGATTTGTCTTCAAAGAGACACAATACCCCTTTTTTCTTTTGGCTACTCCAAGGGTACCTTAATAGTCTTGCTCTCACATAGTCTGTAGACAGGGTCTTAACCACATCCAGTCTTTTCCAGGACCACAGTAATGATATCATACTGATTATATCCTCCCCTAATGAGATTCATTTGATGCATTCATTGAGGACATACATTCACAAAAGGGTTCATAAAACAGGATGGACACACCATTATCCCACACACAGTACCCCAGTTCTTGCCACCTTGGTTCAATTCCTGGAAGGTATTTAGCTGAGAGCCACTCCACCCTTGATACTGCCAAGTTACAGCATCCATAGTATTAAAATAACTGGGATATGTGTTAGGCCTTTTAGGATTCTAGAGACAGCATATTCCTCATTTACAAACTTTAGCCCATTTCGGCTATTACAAATTTACACATCTTGATCTGTGTAACAAAAGGCTCTAGAATTACAATACAATATTACACTGAAAGGCTTTAGCAGTCTCTGTTCATGTCTAGTGAAGCCTATGGATCATATTTGATGGCTTTAAATTGTTCGTGGACATCTGGGGCAAAAAAACTGCCTCCTGACCCCATACCATATGCAATTACTAGATACATACCAGACTCTCCTGGTAACAGTTCGGTCGTCACAATCCCTGAGCTTGTAACCGCCCCCCGCCCCCACACACAGCTGCCTATTATGCCTTAGGTCACGTAAACAGAACCCTGAAAGCTTAACATAGCTACTTGAGGCCTCTTTGCTGCACTCCACAGTCAAACTTGGCATGCACCCTCTGCAGTAAACAGTTCCAGCCGTCCCTAGTCTCTTGCCAGATGTTACAGTACTGATGAGATTTGCCCTCTTTCCCAGATCTCTTGGATATTTGTGGAGCTCCTTGGAACCAATTGAGTTAACAGCAGACAATTTATACATTTTATAGATGATATCACTACCATTATGTGTGGTAGATTCTTCTCTAAAGCTGCGTATTTTTAACCCTTATTTGGGATGTCCTGGGTAATGGGACAAGACCCAAATCAACACAACTAACCTCTTGCAGTCTTTTTGTTGTTGTTGTTGTTTTTTTTTGTACCGGGGATCGAACTTGGGTCCTTGCGCTTGCACAGCAGGCGGCGAAACCACTGAGCTAAATCCCTGGCCCTTTTTTTGTTGTAGTTGTTGTTGTTGTTTTTGACTTGCAGTCTTTTTGATACTGGATGCCCTGGGTGACAATCTGTCACATCTGGACAGTTCTGTTGACTCTTGATTCATTGTCAATGATCTGCTCATCTGTCCCTACCAATTGCAGCAAAAATAGTTCTCTATCCAAGATTGCCTTTTAGGGGAAAAGAACTCTCTGAATGTCTTTCCTCACAGATAGCAAAAATACAATTCACACTAAATCCACAATAAACGACCTCACTAAGACATTACTTATACTTTCAGTATCTAGACAATGCTGATAGTGACCAAGGCAGTCATTTTATTTCTTAAAATACACAGTCTTGGGCTCTTGTAGAGGGATTTAAGGGAACTTTTACCTCCCTTTTCAATCTCAGGCTGCAGACCTAGAGTCCCATAGTGACTTACTAAAACCAGTTCAATTAAATGAAACATGGCACATTTTAGTAATCAACCAGATATCAGGGGTGGACTGTTATAATGATTCTGACTCCACTTTTTGTATTTGATTTCTTTCAAATTGAATTATTCCCCTTTCCCCTTCATTCTCACTTCTGGGCAAGATGATAAGAAAACCTATGTGCTCCTACCTTTGGAGCTTCAAAACAAGCACATGCCAGATAGCATATAGGAACCAATTCCAACCTCACCCTACTCTACTACTCTGTAACAGCCAAGCCAATCTTCTTTCCTTGTTTTCTCAAGCTACTTTGGGACCTGCTTTGGAGCCCCGCATTGCTCTCCTCAAAAAGTTTCATTATGTCAGTGATACATCTTTTTGGGGTGTGTGTGGCATCATCTGTCTCAGTATCTGAGTGGGTTTTGGGAGGACTATCCCACTACAGAATGAGCGACAACAAATGTTTAAATATTCATAATATGATAAATAAAATTTTTATGTTTAATTTCTGAGCAATCATATGAATAAAGGTGAATGTTTTGTGAAATTCCACTTAATATTGAATTAAAAATAAATCTATTCGTCTCTCAGGCCTCGGGATCTAAAACCTGTTTGACAAATTTAATGATTCTGTAAAACTGTTAGAAATAAAGTTAAGTGGAAGATGTCATGGCTCAAAAGATGGAGAGGCAAACATATGTATATCACTTCACCTGATCCAAGACTTAAGGACTGAATCTAGGTGAATAAAACTTCTGCACTAGTTGATACCCTACAGGAAAGGTCACATAAGGATGTAGCACATATGCTCTGGACCCTTGATAGAACACTTAATTGTTAGCTAGACAAAAGAATAAAGAATTAAGCAAAACCATAAAAGTATATATTCTTCCCTTCTCCTGTGGTGAGAATGGCCACTTTTTCTCTTCAGTGAAACATATATTAACTTCAGTCACTTAATATATACTAGGAATGTTCTTCAGTGTCCCATAATATTTTATGCAAGTGAAATTTGGCCAAGCTGAGCAGCATGGGTATCCTCTCTGATTGCAATAAATAAAATGTCAAAAACAATCCTGAGTGCTACAAGGGAAAATAGCTCCCTAAGGAAACACACGGCAAAAGGGGAACTTAATTTTCATTCTAGATGATATTGTCCTTTCTGACTTCAGTTACCTATGCAACTCCTGCAAAACCTGTGTATTTTAGGTCGTCTCTTACTTTTGATCACCACACTGGTAGCTACCCAATTACCCATTTTATATTGCCAGCTATATATCCTTAGGAACCTTAGACTCAGCATATTTAAAGCTGAATGTAGCTCTACCCTAACTAATGCTCTTTCTCTTTTTCACCTTTGAAATATCCGCATCAGACATTTAAGCCAGAAAACTTGCAAGCACCACTAATCATTACCCTCACATCTTGCACCTCCTAGTATTCAGTCCTAAAGTTCTCATCTGCTGTCATTTGAGTGTGGTTTGAGCATCCACCAAGAGTCCATTTTGATTGAAGCTTTGGTCCTCAGAGTGACACTGTTGGAAGGTGGTGTAACCTTTGGAAAGTGGGGCCAAGTGGGAGGCCCTTAGGTTTTGAGATGCATGTCCTTGGAAAGTAGGTCTTGTGGGACTCCTTGGTAGTTTTCTGTACTATGGGTTGTTATAAAAGTCTGAGTTTGGTCTCACCCAGGTATCTGCTTTCTGGTTCAAGACACTTCTGCTTGCTCCAACATGAGCTTCCACTGTTGCTGTATATTGCCCTAGCCAAAGACAAATCTAACAAGGTCTGCTTAATTTGGTGCTTGGAGCCTCCAGAACTTCAAAATAAATAAAACTTTTTATAAAGTAGCCTGTGTCAGGTATTTTACTATACTGATGCAAAGTGAATTAATAAAATCATCATACTAGCAATTTAATATTTTTACTTCTGTTTATTCTTTTCTTCATCTTCATGGCTACTAGGTTTTAAGCCACGATTATTTTTCTCATTATAACATTCCTGTAGCTTCCTAACAGATCTAGACTCTAATCTAGTATCCCCCGCACAATTCCTCTCATCTTAGATTGAGCCCTACCCCACACTAGATAAATTCAAAACCCCAAATGCTAATAATACATAGAACTTTGAGTTGGCCTTTAGCTGCTCCTATTACAATACAAAATTCTGTGGCCAGGGATTTAGCTCAGTGATTCCACCGCCTGTCTCGCAAGCGCAAGAGCCCAAGTTCGATCCCAGGTACAAAAAAAACCAAAAACCAAAAAACAAAATTCCTTAACATAGTCTACAAATTCTAGTGAGATTTGGTTCCTGCCTATCTTCCTAAGTTTGTCTCACCACCACTGCCTTCTCTCCCAGAATTCTGCCCCATCTTCATTTTGTTTCTTATCCTAAAGACATTTTGTCCATGTTTTTCTTACTAGTTGAAACACATTCCCTCTTTTTACCTATGTTGGCCTGAATTTTACTTCCAAGTATTCCAAAATGCCTTTACTGACTCACTTCACTCTTTTGAGTCAGGTATACATCAAACTTTGTATTCAAAGTAGCATTTAATATTTCTGCTGCATCTGGAGCATCTGGCACAGTACCTGAAAGATAATAGGCACTGAATTTGTTTCTGAATAGCACCAGGGGAGAAGGGTTAGCATAGATCATATATATATATATATTCCCCTTTGGGTTGCATTTAGCATCACAGCATCAACTGGTTATGTTACCTTCTGCTCCTGTCACCAGCTCTTTCCCTCAATCACAAAGTCTGGTTTCATCGGAAGGTCAGCTATGTTTGAAAGGTGGGAGGAGTGGTTCCCTCCAATTTGCTTTACCTTGACTTGTTAACTACAAAATAATTGAAAATCATGTTCCCATTTAGATTCACCCTATCTTTGTCGTAGTGCAAAGTCACCACTGAAAGAGACAAGTTAAAAATATACCTTCCATTGGGTGGTATATAAACTATATCTCTGTAAATTTACAAACAAAAAAAGAGTGATGATGCGATAGTTAACTACTGTGTTAACTTGAGTAAGAGACAGCTGGATTGGCTTAGCATAGTCTGGGTGTGACCGAATGGATTTGCTAAAGACAGAAGACCCATCCTGCATGTGTTTGCCACCAACCAATGGGGTTGTAGTCTGAATAGAATAAAAAAGAAAAAGCAGAAGGAAGTCTTGCTTCTGTTTCTTCACAGGAGCTCCTGTCTGCCTTTGCCTTGGATGTCCATCTCCTGGTTTCCAGTGTAGATTCTTCAGCCTGCAGGGCAGACTGTTCAGCCTTGCAGTGCACTCTTCGGGTTTCCAGCTCAGACATTTTGGATTCCTGCTGTGAACTCACACTGGAGTCTATAGTGAGCTCTCAGGCCTTTGACTTTTGCCTAGATCCTTCAGATCTCCAGTGTGCAGACAGCCCCTTTGCACTCTTCACACAAGACTGCAGGCAGTCATTGTAACCCTACCTTGTTAATCCATATATCTTTTACATTAAATCTGTTTCTCTACTGAGCAGTGAGCACTGACTGATACACCTAGTCTCTTGAATTGCCTCTTAAAACACTTTCTAGGATGGAGGACAAAGAAGAGGGAGTAATAATCCTGGGTTCTAATCCTATTAACCAGTTTGTGGTTCCTTTGAGCAAATTGTTTCTTCTCCCTCAAATACCATTCCCTCATCTATGTTAATAATTGTATTAAATTAAGCATCCTTTGAGTTGTAAATTTCAATGAATCTAGACCTCAGAGACTCAGACCTCTTGAGTCTAGATCAGCAAAAGGAGCCTTCCATTTCCCTGAACATCTGTGGAATTGGAAGGAACAGTAAGGAAACCCCTAAGGCCCGACTATCCTAAGGAGGAAAGCCTTGTGTCTAGGGCTAGTACGTCAGATGACAACAGCCAAGTCAAGCTCCAACCCATGAGTTGGTCAAGCCAACCTCTAAGACCTGGCTCAGAACCTGTACTATGATCCAGAGCCAGGGTGTTAACTAGGAAACAAGGGTCTAGAGGCCGCTGGCCAGTATCATGCTGGCTTAAATCATGCTGATCTGTCTGCCTCTTTTTTTTCACTCTCCTTGACTAAGTACTTCTAATTGTTGAAGGCAGAAACGCCTCTCAGAGAGAATACTCTTTTTAGAATGCCTCCTGTGGCTAAGTAATAGCAAAATGTAAATGATGAGAGAATTGGAACAAAAAGTAGAAGAAAAGGGAGGCAAAAGAGGATACCATTTGCCAGCTCTGTGGTTTTAGATTATGTATTTTGCTTCCCTCACCTCACCCCCATCTCAGTATCCAAGGCATAAAGATTCCAACTTGAGAGGGTTGCTCTTAGAATTAAATGAAAGTGTCTATGTGAAGTGGCCAACATACCTTTGGGGCATGTAGTGTGTTCTCAATATATCTGAACCTGTTTTTGCAGGGATGTGGTGAGGCATTTGGACTTTAGAGTCAGTCCTGGAATGGAATTCTGCCTTTCTTTGTTAAACACACAACTTTGTGAAGATGAGGTAAGAATTAGTCTGGACCCCATAGGATTGTTAGGAAGATGATATATGATGAAATGAATATGTGGACCATAGTAGGAACTCAAAACATGGAAGTCATTGTTGCCCTTTCCTCTGTTGCCCTCTTCCCTAACACATACATATGCACATACATTCGTCATGAACAGTATAAACTTGGTATTGAGCTGTGCAGATAGGCTCTCCTGGGCCCAACTGCTGGGGTCCAGTTTACACTATTTGATAATATTACCTTTTATCTCCACCTACAGGCTCAAGCAGAGCTCAAATTCAAAAGGTGACAGATCTTCCAGGGAGAAACAGCCATGACTTAGGAAGTATGGCATGAATAGAGTATATATCTAAGGCTGCTATAGTCAAGACTAGAAAGAGTTACATCATTATGGGTTTTTTTGCCTGGGAAAACTAACAGTAGTAATAATTATCACAGGCTTGATTATGCCTCATAATAATAATAAATGATAATAACAGCTAGCATTTCCTGAACATTTATTATATATTGGGTGCAATGATAATTACTTTAAAAACATTGCTCCATTTTATTATTATAACAATACTGCAAGAGAAGCATTATTATATTCATTTTAAAGGTAAGGAAATTAAGGTTCAGAGAGCCAAAAGGCTTTGACATAAGTCACACATCTGGCAAATGGGACAGATGATTCATCCACAGCTCAGTATGTGTATTATTTTTTGAGACTTCCACTTTTGATAAGAAGAGAACACTACTGACTGACTTGTGAGTTTCTTCTATGGGCTTAAGCACAGGATCTCATCATGTCTTCTTCATAAAAACCATGTGAGATCCAGATGATTTTTCAAATATTTCTTGGTCCATTGTTTTTACTTAATTTGCATTTGCTGATTCAGCTCTTCTTATTTGTGATGTTCCTCCGCTGTGCACAGAGACAATGGAAAATTTTCTAACTAGTGAGGAAACTGAAGCACAATGACATTCAAAGGTCTAGCAAAGAAGCCAGTGGCATTCTTCAGGAGCACATGAGGGGATCCAGGCATTACTCCTTGTAACTGGCCCAAGATACCTCAACCTTCCCCTGAGTTGTTAGATATTCCCCCATATACAACTTTGCAGTATGTCCCCTTGCTGGGAATCTACTTCCTCTCCACTTCCCCACACGGCAACTGCCCACTCATCTTCCAGGGCAACTGCTTAGACATTTGTTCCAGGGAAGCTTCTTAGGCCATCCTAGGGGGGTTAGAGGCCTGTCTCTCAGCTTTGCTTCTTCCACTCCTACCCTCTATACATGTATACACTTTACCCCTGGTCATGGACATTTATCCAAAGGGCTGTAGTAGTCTGTTCGCTTGTTAGTTTTTCTCATTTGCCTATGAGCTTGAGAACAGACACTGTATCTCACCTTGTTAGCCTTAGTGCTTCATACAGAGACTGGCATATGTTAGGAGTTCAAAGTCCTACTAGGGAATAGTGGAGGATTGAGAAAAACAATGCAAGGCAGAGGGAGAAAAAAATGCTACCACAATGTGTCTCAAAGGATTGTCTGTGAGTGAAGCCATACCTAAGGTGGTGAATGAAACCTACTGATGAAGGGAGAAAGAGAAAAGCTTCAATCTTATGTGTTTGTGTTCTCTCCAAACCATCTTGTGTTCACTAAGGGACTAAAGACAGGCAACAAAAGCCCCTTTTCAATGTCCAGGGAAATTCCACATTCTTAGTGCAAGACTTCTGATAGAGAAGCATCCTAGCTACAATCCCACTCCCTCAGTCCCCGCGTCCATACTTGGGACCAGAACTGTGACAGGGAAATGAGCATGGTTTGACCCCAGCTTGAACAGAATCAAGATGACTAGTTTACACTAGTGTCAAAATCTTTTGTCTCTTTTCCTAAGGAAAAAGACAGTGAAAAAGTCCTCAGTGTTTCAGATGATGATATAATGTGCATGTGTGTGTATACATGCACATGTGCATCTACACATACTCTAAATGAGCAAATGTGCTGCCAACCGATGAGCTTGATGATGTCAACTTAATGGGCTTTGGCTTCTGTCCAGGGGATTGATGGAGCACACTTCTGGTTATGTCTGGGTGGGTTGTGGCGGCATGACATTGAGTTCTGTGGTCATTCACCCCATTCTTCACTGGCATTCTGCCCCTTCTCTGCTTTCCAGCTGCCATGAACCGAGCATCTTTGCTCCTCTGTGCCCTTCCACCATGATGTGTCTGCCTTAAAGCTAGCCAACCATGGACTGAATCCCCTCAACCAGGAGCCACATTAAACCTCTCTTACTTTAAGTTGTGGGTGGTGGGTATTGTGTCCAACAATGAGAAAGCTAATTAATACAGCTTGGCAACCAG